CTTATATGCTAAAAAGCAGAGAAACAAGCTTTATTTATAAACTGGCAGGTTTATTGAGAATGTATTTTTCTTTATTGGCTCTAAAACCTGGGGAATACACACAAAAAATATTTGTGGCACAAATAAAATATTTTTTATGGCTTCACTCTTATTCAGAATTCATTTCTCTCTTACCCATATTTCAATGTATTTCATATTTTCCATTCTATTATTCTCTTCAATTCTTATAATTTTGTTCAAGATGCACACAGTATCTGTATGTATATTGATATAGAACATGAAGCAATGGGTCCAGAGGTGCTTCCTTCTGGCGATTGCTTGCCCCCTCACATAGTATAGGGCTAAACTTCTCATCATTCAACTTTGTTATATTTATCGTCTTCCAGGCTGATGTTGTCTGCCATGTTGAACTCTGCATGGATTTTAATAATGAGCTAGTAAGAGTTAATGACATTGAGAGCTAAATATACCTAGATCTTTGTTACATTTCAAATTCATGTCCAATATATTTCTCTGTCACAATCAGGGACATTATTTCTTTTTTTTTTTTTTTTTTTTTGGCATCTTTCAATGGCAAAAAAAAAAACAGGTGATGGGAGACTTATTCAAACTAATTTTTAGTCTGTAGGTTTACTTTCATCTACAAAAGTTTCACCCGACAAAAGATTGCTTTACATAATGCCATTTTTTTTAAAAATGGAACTTAGTGTTGCCTACTGTATAATAACAGTTGAAAAAATAAACTCTAAAATAAAGCAGGTTTCCTTTGAGCCTAATATTCATGAAACTGACGAAGCTGGCTTCATCAAGGAATTTAGAAAAATTCATTTTGCTTTCTTAAGCTGGATTGTGTTTAATAGTGATGCATTTGATAATTTAATATTAATATGATTATTAAAATGTTATATATAATTTCATTTGTCATTGGTACCACTTTGATGTGAATTTACAATATATATTTGATTTTACTAGTTAAATTTTTATTAAATGACAAATAAAATATTAAATAATATATGTACTAGAGCAAGCCTTTGAAAAATTCCATTTTTAAAAAAAAAAAAAGAGATGTTATGAAAAAAAAAAACTTTGTGGGAAAATGATGTGTTTAAAAAAAATTATTAGTCTCAATCAATTTCGCTTTATTAATGCAAACATATCTCTTGGACCAGTTATGTACTCAGAGATAATAATCATTACATTGGCTCTGAAATAGTTATCATTAAATTGGGCCTTGTGTACAGTCACATCATGTTGTTTGTCAGTTGACCACTGAAACATTCCTCCTTGTTGGTCCACTTAAAATGGATGTCAGTCACTTTTTCATCTTGGTGATTTTAACAAAAGTGGCGCTAAAGGCTTTGTATACAATACATTTATAGTTTAATATAAACCATGTTGTGACAGAAGTATAGTACAGAGCAAAAGCAAAGGATTTCTTAATGACAAGAATGTCTGGTATCCTTAACTAGATATTCTTGTCTCCAGAAAGAAAGAGCTCTTGAACTAATGCTTGATACTGTATAATTGATATTTGTTTGATATACTCATGGAATTAATTGATGTGAGTGAAATAAAAAGAAAAATAAGTTTTGTTGGGCTATGAGTTTGCTTTTAGTTTGATAAGGGAGACAATTACATCCTGTTTGTTTACATTTTGGTTTTAAAGATGCTGTTTACATCCTGTCTAATGAATAGAATCAAGTAAAATAAAAAATTTAATGAGAAAATGTCGGGGAGCAATAAGTGAGATAGGACATAGTGCACACATAACTCAAAGGTATGAAACTAAAGAGTACAGAAAAAAAACTCGAGGAATCAACACCAACTTAAAATTTACACAAATAATTTGTACTCCAAGAGGCTCTGTATATAAATGGAGCAAAGTATACACACATATAATGGATTATGTAGATGTATGGCCCCACTCATTGACATTAGCACCTACCCATAGGCGCAGTTGGGGAAGGGGGGGCATTATTCGCTGGGCGCCACACTCCGAAAGAAAACAATATGAATTTCTGGAAAAAATTTTAAAAATCAAATTATAAAGACTGTATTTTTAAGTAGCAAAATGTTCACATGCATCTAATTAGTCATTTTAAATTACCGTCATGCTCATTTTAATTGTAGAAGAGACTTCCATTTGAAATATACTTGATGTAATACCGTGCTGGATACACGAACTGTGTTAATCACGATTTGCATAGTATCTGGTTTTCAGTGAAAACATCTTTTATTAACAAATCTGATTCAGTGAATAGCACATGAGTAAATTTGTTATGCCAGCGTTCAATACAATGATTAAATATTAATTTTTCTATAATATATTTTGTTTCATTTAGTAGTAGTATTAGTTTGTTTTGTTTCATTTAGCAGTAGTATTTGTTTTGTTTCATTTAGCAGTAGTATTGGTTTGTCTTATTTCATTTAGCATTAGTATTGGTTTGTCTTATTTCATTTAGCAGTAGTATTAGTTTGTTTTGTTTCATTTAGTAGTATTAGTTTGTTTTGTTTCATTTAGCAGTAGTATTAGTTTGTTTTGTTTGTTGTTCAAATTTTGAGGCCATCGTATCTCAAACCCTGGGCCGCCCCCCATCCCCCGCCCCCTAGGTTACCTACAAAGGAGATGCAAAATTGGTTTTAAAAAAAAACAAGGTTACAAAGACAGTTTGTGTGGAAACACAAACTTAAAATCGGCCCCCGAAGTGGTCCACCCAGGCAGGCTTCAATATTTTCAGAAAAAACATCCAAATGAAATCATATCAAAGACAAATGAGAGATAAAAATGGAGAAAGAAGGTTGACAGATCTTGTGTAGTGCCCCAATGGTGCAGGAGATCAAGGGATGGGTGCAAGTGAATGCAAAGTTAGATGTGAACCTGACCTAACTAGTTCCCCTTTCAGACCTTGTGGTCTATAGGGCAGATGATGTAAAGTTCATCTGTTTTTGTGGCCTACGGTTAACGAGGGTGTCATGTAGCCAGTACAACGACCAACCGCCTTTACTTTTCCCCCAACTAATGTCAGGTATCTATTAGAGCTGGGTAGACTCAGAGGCGCCCAAGGATTCCGAAGTTGAAAATCCCTGTCTTCACCAGGATTCGAACCCGGGACCCTCGGTTCGGAAGCTAAGCGCCTTACCGAGCCTCTCCTGGTCTAACTACAGTGTTATAAATGTAGTAATTGTTTTGAAAAGGCTCAATCTTTTATTCGAATCATACCTTATTCCACATTTTAAAATTTTATAAATAATGAAGTTTATAAGATTACTATTCGTTTTAAATTAGGTCTAACTTATAATGTATACTAATTAGCTTTTTCTCTTTAAAAAAAAATGCTTGCATAACTGATTTTAAAAATTAGATTTTTCGCTTTCAGGAAAAAAAAAAGTAGCCGTTGCATCAGAACTTTGAATGATCTAAAATATTGTGATGTCGGATTTTCAATATCTTTTCTAGTTTACGAGATCTAAACGGAACAGACGGACAGACATTTCGCACAAAACTAATTGCGTCTTTTCCCCTTTCGGGGGCCGCTAAAAAAACTTGTTTTTGCATTGTACTTATAATCCCTATTTGTCTATTAATCGCGTTCAAAAGATACCATAACCATGTTTACAAAATAAATTTAGTGAAATCTTTTTTTTTTTTTCTCTCTCCTTTCAGCGTCTGCACCAAGATTGAGTCATCGCTTCTTTTAAAATAGATAATGAATTTTGAACACTGGCCCCCGGAACTTACAGACCCGCTATAGCTGGAAAAGAGGGGGAGGGGTGCGCCAACATAATTTTTTGGGTTTAGACTCTCAGAGGAAATAAGTCGCTATTTAAAGTTTGAGAAAAATTGTTTTAAGCCTGTTGCTCTCCTCTTACTGGAAGAACCACTAAATCTTTATGTTGAACAAGAGAGATGTTTTATGTTTTCAATTATAAAAAAATGTTTCAACGATTGTATCTTATTTTGCTACAATAACTCCTATTAAATTTAAATATTCATTAATAACACTAATTAAAATCAATGCTTTTCCCTATTTTTGTGTGGACTATCAGGTATGTAATCTGACATTAGGACAATTACATGATAATAAGTGATCTTAGGTTTAGTCTCAAAGTGTTGCACGAGCATATATATAACATGACACACATAGATAGATATAGGCCTATGTCAGCGAGCCCTAGCACAGATGTATAGACATGTACGAACTGTGGCAAACTCTGCCGCTCCAGAATTGGCTTGATCAGTCACTCCAGATTCTGCCCCATCTCAAGACGTAACTAAAGCCAGTGACTCATCGATGGGCGCATCCATTGTCTTCCGAAACAGAAGGAGACATATATATATATATAGGCCTATCCCCAAAAACAAGTCTTAGATTAAAACATTCTGTTGGTAAAAGCAATATCTACATACCGGTACCTAACGACTTTCAACATTTGTTCTCGGTGAGAGATCGAATCCAATAAAATGTCCATATATTTATTCGTTTGGTGTTTTTAATTTGTTGATTATCAAATGTGAATTCCAGAGGATGACATAATTTCATTTGGAAATTGCGGTGATAGGTTATGACAAGTTTTAACGTTTCCATGACATTTAAAAATGATTTAATAGTAAGACATCGTAGCCAGGCTGTCTCCTTCAGGTTACACAGAAAATCCACTGCAGAGGACAGACGTAGAAAGTGGTAAGGACAACCTGAATCGACAACGGTTATGTCTGTGCTGGATGTGGCAAAATATGTAGATCGAAGCTTGGACTGCGTGGCCACGTGAAATTATTATTCTTAATTTTTCTTCGGACTCCAAGACAAGCCTTATTATTATTATTTATTATTATCTTTCTTGTATGTTTGGATCTTTTTAGCACTGAAAACTGTATTAGTATTTTGTAAAAGCGAAGTTAGGTAGTGACTATTCCTAATGCGTGTAGGTCTATATTGTAGATATTATAAGTATGTAATACATTTTTTTTTATGTTGAAAACGGGGGGGAAAAAAGGGGGGGGGGGGGGAATACCGTGAACCGCGCGCCAGCTATGCTCACTATGCCTTTACAGTGTCTACACTTAATGTATTTTCTGAATTCTATTTGAAATCATTAAGACAATAAGAATCAAGAGAACAAATGTAGATAATGAAAGTGTTAAAAATTCTTTTTCTGTTTTCCACTTATCCAACTTGACAAACTCACAAAGTAATAAGGAAATATACAAATAGAACAATAAACTATTGGTAGGCTATATATATAGATATCCTTCATAAAGAGAATAAGTTGAACTCTTGTGGAGACATTTTGTTACCACAGAAATATATGTGTTCATTGATAAAATTAGTGGATGTCTCTTTATTGGTTATTGAATGAAATGTTGAATAGGTTTGACAATGACTTGAACTCAACAATGAAATATTTAAATAAAATGAAGTCTTTAAAATGCCATTTGATTTTTTTTTAATTGCAACACACCAGATGTATACAGTAATAATTTTAGAGACTTGCAGATCATTGTCATTGATTCGGCTCTGTTGTCTTTATGTGAAGCAGTCAGTCCTAATCTGCTCAAGTTTGCTTTAAGGTAAGTGATTATTTGTGGTAGAAAAAAAATCATTTTAACATATGTACATTTTTGAAGGTTATAAACTAGACTATCTTAAAACTGAGAAAAAAAATATTTAAAAGATGTAAATCTTATAATGAAATATTGATAAATGTTTTAAAAATATATCAGAGAAATGACAAGCACAACCAACAATTGTAGGATTCTATAGCTGCCTATATTGGTTTTTTTTGTTTTGTTTTTTAATACACAGTTATGACATCACAGAAAATAAAGTTGATGATTGATATTTCTATTTTTCAACAGCCATCTCACACACTTTTTATAAACATGCTTTAAAAGAATTTCCTCAAATTCTTTAATTGGTTTCTTGAAATGAATCTTTTTTTTTTTTTTTTTATGCTTAGGAAAAGGGAATCATTTTATTTTAAAAAAAGCATATTAAAAATAAGGAATGTTGATTCAGAGGAATAGTTAGCTTCAGTCTATATACTTCTATTTCATTGCATGAGTTTTTCATTGAAACTCCATATTTCACATAGTCTTCCAATACATAAGCAGAGCCCTGTAACTAGACGCAGAAGCACATCAACACAGGAAAGTATTTAATTATTGCACTCGTATACAAAAAAGTTGTCTCCATTTATTACCAAATAAAACATTCTCCTGTACAGGTTACTGCCAGCTATTCAGAGAAATCTAAATCCTCCATCCAATGATACAAATAAAAGTAGAATCCCATTTGAGCAAGGCATACAGTGATGTTTAGGTTATTATTGGCCAATTCAAACATAATGAGCTACATAGCTCAGACAGTTAATGGAACAATATATTCATCTTTTTGTGTTGGGTGGGTAATGGACAGCGCCGTCTGCCTGTTAATGGTCTTTAGAGAAAAGAGCATTCATGACATAATTGGTCAGTTTGACCAGGTCTGTTTCCGTACAGTGGTTCTCTAGAACTTGGTAGACACGCAGGGACTGGTCTTTGTTGGGAAATACCTGAATCAACTGTTCATACAACCGTTGTGTTTCTTCCCGACTTCTTCTGGTTTCATTAGTATTAGCACTAGCTGAGATGATAGGTTTCTGCCAAGGCTTGTCAACTCTGTTTACTTCTTTGAAGGGCCTGGAGAAAACAAATTCATAAACTTGACATTCTAAATGTATAAAAGTTACATCATTTGTATCATATTAAAAAATAAACTACTCACATGAATGATACATTAGGTTTGTTGTAAGAAGGGTTTTTCAGAAACACATCAAGTTTTGGACCATTGCGACCCAGTGGATCATCAGGAGGCATAAATGCATCTCCGACAAAGACATATTGAAGAAGACTGAAATTCATAAGTACAAATTGAGATTATTCATATAATTCAAGTCTTATAAATCTAAAGCTAAGACCAGGCTAGTCTTATAAATCTAAAGCTAAGACCAGGCTAGTCTTATAAATCTAATGCTAAGTAAGACCAGGCTAACTCACCACTAAGTTTTATGTTAAAGAAAAATTTAATTTGTATGATAAGCAAACATAAATCACTCATTTACTTTGAATGTACAATCTTTTTATATGTGGCTCGTTCATTGCACAAATCTCTGAACTGATCATTAGATACAATTATTCCATCTTCTTGTTCAGCAAGGTTTAAAATATACCTGCAATGAAAGGAACAGATTTAGTAGACTCGATTTCAAATTATCAGAATTTAGTAGACCTGATTTAAAATGATCAGATCTTATTCCTTTTATTTGAAATGTATTTATAATCCATTAGGTAAAGTGCCCACTCAATGGACCTTCTAGATTCAGTTCATTGATCAGGGAGAAAAGTTTTCTGTAAAATGTTTGTCATGTTTCAGGTGTTACTTCAAAGTAGAAGATAATCTACTTCCTAGTCCAAAATCTCCTGCAGGATGACAGGATGGCAAGGTATGAACCCAGGACAATCAAGAAGACCAAACTATAGAGTCCAGCATGCATGTTGCATGACCAGTAATTAGTTAATACACTACAACAACTAAATCTTCATGTCCAAGACAAGTCAAATATATATATATATATATATATTGTTTAACTCCAGTGGCGGACTGATAGAATTAATGTGTGTTTAACCTACTGACACACGAGACTAAGATGAATCACACAGGTCAACGACTGTTGAACAAGGAACCATGCTGCTAGTACATGCAAATATGACCTGTGTTATGGTCATGTGATCGAAAGCTTTCACGGTTGAGAGACAATGTGTACGAAAGGACAGTTGAGTCCAGGACAGCAAGGCAGTAAGGGCATGTGTGGTACAAAGTGAGTCCTTGAAAATGTAGCTGTCCGAGTCTAGAAGTAGACAGAGAGACTTGTAGTGTTATTACGTAGGCAGTTCTATTGTGTTAAAGCATTTGAAGTTAGTGAAGCCAATAGAGTTTTATTGGCTGTTGATGTATTTGTCATTAAACCGCCACATTGTTACTTGAAACTCTTGTCTAGTTCTTGTGTTAGATGTGCTGTGTTGTGTTAAGCGGTGTTTACAGAAGGCCTGATAGAGAAGATCGTAAATATATATATATATATATGCATTTAGGTCTGGGACAAAAACACTAAGCCAGAAAGGCTGTGCTATCATTTTATAACAAAGAAGCCTGCACCCACCTGTCATCATAACTTGCTATTATTCTGCCACCATCCAATCGACGAGCTGGTGTAAATTTAACTATTCCATCCTGGTTAAGTTTTTCTAATAATTGTTTTCCTCTGATGGGATCTGAGTTATACCATCCTTTACTAGGATCTCCATAACGTCGAGATTCAGGGACAAACACTGTGATTCTGTCATGGCCTCTATCTTTAAAATACTTCACAGCAATAACAATACCTCGTACTGAGAAACATTTATTGTCACCATGTCTATTTAAGTAGAGAGAAATTAATATTAGTTAAACAACTTTTCTTAGCATTCCCTAATGCCTAACATTACATGTCTAGCTTCAAACATTTGGTTATCAATCTAATTCTGCCTGTTTTGTTAATTAATGTTTCTAAAATGAACTATCTTTCAAGAAAATAGACAGTAATTTAAATATCAAAAGACACTTGTGTTATGCTTTCATTAAATTTCTTTAATTCATAACTATCTTGCAGCACAATTGAATTCAAATCAAAAGATCGGCCTTGTCTCTCTACAATGTGTTCAGAATTATGACTGATGACTAAATGACCAATTAGTCTAAAGACAAATAATATTTAAATTTAAAATAGATGATTAAAATGTAAAATCATTAAACTAAAAATAACAATATTAATCATTCTGTAAACAAACAAAGCATTTTGCCCTGAATACTGGGCAAAATCTGGATACAAAACAACCACGTCACCCACACACGACCGATCAGAATGTCAAACCAAGCATCATGTCACTTGAGACAGTTTTGATTGGTCATCGTTATGTATACAAATCCTTCATATTTAGTGTTTTTTGTGCATTATTTTAATAACATAGACCTAAATCATGGCTTCAAAGAAGATTTAGAGCAAGGTAATGAAAAGGAAGTGGAATACAAATGAATTGAAAAAGGAAATAATTTCATAGTATATAGTGTGTGGAATATCGCAGCCAAATGTTAAAGTCAATAATATGGACAATTTTAAAGCGAAAGGAGCAACTGAAAGCTGAAGGGAAGTCACCAATGATTTTACAATGCCATAGTCTCATGGAGGGGGATTCCCCCAATTATAAATACTCTTTAGTGAACAGTAGTTAAGAATCTTGAAAAAAAAAAAAAACTATTTTGTTAATGTTGTGTATGACAAATGAAAACCAAAGTGCTTCTCAGCAAATTAAACTAAAAGGCTTATAATAAGGAAAAGACAGCATTATGAAATGAAGCAATTAGCAACATCAAGCTAGAAAACAAAGCAGAAAAAAAAAGCTACTTACGCCATAGCCACATTGCTGCCATCTATGACAATGTATCTAAGGTCTTTTCTGTAATCCTGTTTTGGCCAGGTATTTTCCTCTGACTCAGTAGAATCATTTGTCTGTAAAGTATTGACTGTAGGTCTTCGAATGTCTCTCTGTGATGGATAGGATGGTTTGGAGTTACCTCTCTTTGGTGAATTTAGTAGCCCACCTCCAGTAGCTCCCCTTGCTAGAGAGAATGCATGAATGTAAATGAGATTAGGAGTTGAATGTTTGTACGTTATGATTTGTGTTGTAAATTAAGGAACTGTTGGGTGGTTGTTAGTGTAGTTGAGTGTAGATATAATGAAGATGATGTTCACAAGTTCGTAGATCTAATAAATCTCCAACAGAACAAAACAGTATAGATTGAAGTAATACAGCCTTTAAAATAAATAATTTTTTTACAAATAAAGGCACAGTCTACGCTGTGTTATGCTGTGCTGTTTCTATTTGCTACAAGTAGTCTCTTCGTCTTTCCTCCATTAATCTTCTGTAACCTATTTCTGTTCTAACTTTTAAATGCACTGTCCCGTGACTATGGAAAAACCCAATTAAACCCAAGGTCTTACTGTTGTGTCATTCAGAACCTTTAAATTTTTTTCTACTGATTTATAAGAATTCAATAGACTTAGGTTACAGTAGCTGCAGGGCATGGTGGCCGAATGGTAAAGTGCTTTGCTTTTCGGTCAAGTGTTCTCTAGTTTGAATCTCAATGAAGAATAGGATTTTGAAATTAAATATTTTTAGGATTGAACCAAACTCTAATGGCTACCTAACATATGTTGGGGAAGTAAAAGTCATTTGGGTGGTCACATGACACTTTTGTCCATAAAAACAGATGAACTTTACATCTTCTGCCCACATAGATCACATAGACTGAAAGCGGGACCTTAACTTTTTTTATTTTAACCTGTGGAATATCCACAAAAATATAATATTTTGATTATATAAAAGGCAGTGTTTTTTGGCTGGCTATGTTGGGTAATGTTTACGCACTTTCAGAGGATTTTGATGGACTTTTTAACCTATATCTCAATAAATAGTATAATTTATGTGCTTACAATGTCATCATTTATACATATTGAATTAATAAAAATTAATGAAACCATTTTAGTTAGTTCGTTTACACTTTAGTTAGAAAAAGTGTTTGATTCTTGTGAATAGCAAAACATTCATCAACAGTTAATCCAATTTCATACCCAAGTGTCGCAGTTATCTATGTAACTGTATAGTAGAATTATTTCTCTAATTGATAGTGCGGGGTTGATCACTATATTGATGACGTCATTACACTATTAATATTTTACTTTGTAGACTAGGGGACTGAGCTTTTGTTGCTTGTCACAACTTCTAGTGATGTAAAGTTAGGTGTGTGTGGTTTGCGTCATTTATCGTCTAGTACAGTCTCTCCATTGTTTTGTATGTTGGTACAGATAGATGTGTCTTGAGAGCTCTTGAATTTCTCCTTG